TTGTTAGCTCAGGTGCCGTAGATGGCTGGACGAACCAAAAACCAACTTCTCTTTCACTTGGCGCTCCCACGAACAGAACGAAAATCGGCTCGCTATTGCCGAACCAAACTCAATTACCCTGTCAGGCAGCAATCGTGTTTCCTGATCCCTGAGCAGTGGAGTATTCCCTCAGCGTAGAGTGAAGTTACCCATTTTGGAATAAACACATCGGGTTAGCCGGTGCACTCGCCATCGAATCAAGTAGATAGAGTTCTATGTTGCACAAACTCATCAATGGCATTTTTTTTCGCCAAAAGATAGACATAAAGTTTTTGTTTTATACGCATAGGGTCCAAACATCATCCGAACCCACGAAGGACATGGGAACTCGTTGGATGCTCACCCATGACTCAAGTTTTGATTCAAGCAGGTTGTTTGGCATAGGGTAGCAACCTCCGACGGGGGGCCGTTTTTTACTCGTAGCTTTGTGTTTTGAAACTGACCAGTTCCCGATGAAGTGGTATTCTAAAAACAACAACTATGGACGATTTGGAGAAACTGGTATCAGTAATTCGACATCTTTTCTGTCTAGTGTACAAAAAAGAAGAGGTTTGATGTTATTAATTTCTTTCGCATGTGAGAAGTGGTGTATTCGCTTCGAGGCATATTTTAGTTCTTACGCTTATTTTTGGCACCTTGTAAGGCTAAACATTACCCATTTTTTATTGTATCCACATCAGAAAAGTCGGCTAGCCTTATGAATTGGCTGAATTATCGTCGAGTCGCTTTTTCTAGCCAGAATTTCTTCGGAATTTAACTTGCAGTTTTACGGAATTTTTGTGTTTCAAGCTTTTGATCCGGTCCATAACGTTTTATATGTAGTAAAGGACTTTATTCGGCAGTTATCATACTTCAGAGACTGGTCTTACAAAACAGTGATGATATTTCCCCCTTGTCACATCGTTCACACACAGTGGTGATAAAGAAATTTCGTTCCGTCCAAGATCTGAGTACCATTATAGACTCAGTTACGGACTGTATGTACTGACTACTAAAACGGTGCGCACCCTTTTTTTTCTAGAAAAAAACGATCATTCAAAAGTGTAATCAGCTGTTTCCTGAGGTTTGTGTAAATCCAACTTTCTCGAGTCTTTATAACACTCGCGGTTAGATCTTTTTTATTTAGTTTCCCTTAGAGAAGTTGTTGAAACCAGTTGTTCTTTCTTCATAAAGGAAACTACTCACAAGGTTGCTGAAAACTCTTAGACAGCCCACAACCGGTTTCGCCCTTCATGGGACTCATCAGGTAGGCGCAGTCTTCAAGTTTCCATCAACCTTATGTTCTACTTGAACCCAAATCGGGCTGTTTTCGAGAAATACACTCATGGGCAAATTTGGTTTTCGCGAGAGATTCAACTGAATCTTTCGTTTATGACATTCTACGACTGGGATTCAGTTGAGTCTCTCGTGAAAACCAAATTGATTGTATTTCTCGAAAATGTTCTTTTTTTACAATCTGAGCCAGACTGTACGAAGGTCACTCCTCAGATTGGTGACCTCGTTGTATGGTGTTAAAAAGATTCTCTGTGCCAAGTTAGGACCACCCTCGGTTTTTTTAGCAGTGTGGTAATCGCTTTTCAAGAAAGTTGACTGGTTGAAAAGTTTCTCTCGGATGGGTTCACCTCATACAGCAGTCTCCCTAGGACTGCATCGCGTCGCCAGTAGACTGAAATTATGTTATCACTTCATATCGTAATAAGTCCTTTTGTTCAAAACATACGTCTAGATATACAAACCATTTGATCGAGAATCGATGGTGATCGATTATCTGGTCTCAATTTTGATACTATGCATCGGGAATAATCGCCCGTTGCTGATCTGTTATTCATCAGATCTGCACTTGGTGAACGAAAACTTTCGCTTGTCCGAATTTCCCAGAGGAGCTGAAAAACGACCCTAGACAACAGGAGGGAGAATTGTTTCAACCCCCTGTGGTGTGTGTCGATTTGTCCAACACTCACATTAACCAAAGAAAAAACGGATAGACTCCCAATGTCCCCTTCAACACAGATGAGTGGAATAAAATTGGTAACCGTTCAGGTGTAGCATCCTTATGGTGCCCAGCTGCCATGCCACCCGAAGGAAGCACGAGGGCTTGGATACTGCAAGGTTGCCCAAGCCTAGATAGGGAAGTCGAGAGGCAAAGGTCGGGTTCGAGTCACGGACCACCTTCCCATCAGTAAATTCGCGCTCTAACCACTGAGCCATCTCGCCCCCAGATAAGTGGAATTTCTTAATGGAACACATTAGTTAAGCCTCATTTGTTCATGTTGTGCTATCGCGTGTGCACCATAGTGTGTAGTCTTCAACCGAGATGTGGATACCATGTTTGGTTTTGTGAACCGATAGTCGTTAGACTGTCGGTTAACACCACTTAGGTGCAGACCAGTGTACTGACCCGGTCGGTTCCAGAATAGCTCTTCTTGATGTGGCGAGTGTCCTTTCTCGGTGACTCGTTTATTTCCAGTGTGAGCACAATCAAACTAAGCGCCGAACTTGAGGCTCGAATCCGTCATTTCTATAGCCAGTTTTTCTCCACAAGAGATAGATTGCCTCAGATTCGAAGAGAGTATCTTGGTCGCAGGGTATATTCGTATACTCAAAAATGTTGCAACCGGCGGGTGAACGTGACAAGTTTAAGTCGAAGAGACATCCACATGTCACCGTCTCCTTTGTTCGCTTCGTTTCACTGACCTCGGATTTTCGCTGTTTTTTTATTATTCGAGTTGCTGCCACTTGTTGCACTGTCAGTGCCAGTATTTCAGTGCACCTATGTGCCCATGCGCGTCTGTATTCAGTTACAGTTCGACAGATGATCACCGCTCAAGCTTCCATTGGTCGAATAACCCGAATGAGACCGTCTGGATCGTTCGCACTAGCTTGCATTGTACGTGTTCCCTTCGTATGCGAATGCCGATATCGGCATAACACTGCTGAGCTGAGAAAAGTGTTGGCCTTATTGCTGTAGCCTGTTTTGAGAAAATAATAGGTGTTGAGTTCCGCTCGACCTCATTCGACATTTTCACTCAAGGTTGGGCTAAGCACACCATTCAACTTCGTCAGACCGCAAGAGCAAATGAGCTGCTAACCTTGAATCTATAAATGTGTTATCTGAACGTGTCTTCTGGGGACTGAAATATGTCAAAGTGTGCCTGTGCAGAGTAGAATGGGAAGATTTGGATCAAGTGATACTCAGTGATGAGAAACGGACCTAATCAACAACCATGCCTCCCAATAGGGCATAAAATTTCTTACCAGAAACCTATACATACATGTGAACGAAGCGTGGATTCAGACAGGTTTGATCAAAATGATCCGAAGCATCACGAAAAGCGCCACTTTTCTTAGAGACAAGTTTCTAGGATCGTGGAAATGTTGAAACACTCCGTGAACAAGGTCAAAATGACCCGAACATCAACTGTAGCTAAGCTGGTTCCGAATGAATGGCGCAGGGATCAACTTTGTTGATTTGTAGAAGCGTTTCGCGCATGCGTTCCCAACACCGTCTCAGTCGATTGCACTGTCTGTGGGTTGCGTGAAGTCGCTCATCTTGCAATTCCTAACTAGGTTTTGAGAAGACAGGCCATGAAAGTCATCGAACCAGCCTAAGTACGCCTGGCGGATATTGCAACACCTGACTGCAACCCATTCGACATGGCCAGTTCTCACCCCAAAATACGTACTGCGGAAACGACCGGTACGTCAGCTCATTTGACAACTCAGTCAGACTTTTTTCACGTGACAGACAATATGCTGTTGAAAGTCAGCTTTTTCTGATCCGTTGTGCCTGGACTGTCTCTTCTTCGGTGGGAAAAGCTTCACTTAAGGTTTGCCCGTGCGGTATACATCGTTTCAAGTTAGTATACCCGGGGAGTGTTCACAGGGTGTTTCGAAGAGACATCCGGCGATTGTGTTAATCCGTCCTAATGGGTGTCCAGAGGCGTTTCGTGCACTGTGTGAACATCCTGCCTTGATAGTTGGGTTCTTTCGGTTTCCACTTTAGGTTCGTTCTTAATCGTCACGTGATAACGGCATTTAAAAAAAACACCAAGAAGTCCTTTTGTTGGAAAGGTAAACTTACATTGGCCTAGCTTCTTACCGCAACCTTGTAACGCTCTCTTGTGGCTGTCATCAGAATGGTGTTGGCAGTATCAGTCAACCAGTACGTATGGTAATGCAAAACGCCGCTGACTTTGCATTCTTGCTTTTTTGGTGAAAGACGGTCGGTTCAGGGGGCCAGATGCATTTTTGGAAGGAGTGCTATGTGTTCGATGCGACAGTGCGATGGAACACTCTTGTTCTAAACAAAACGCTATTGTGTTGATTTGGCCTACGACTAACCCCTTCGAAATTAACCAAGGCTTTGATATAAATCTTTCTGGTACATAATCTCAGCTCTGATGTTCAACGATTCGCCCTCGCCCACGTCATGATGATTAGAATCGCTCGATCACAATTCGATACTTGGGCTCTCGGGTGTCTGACATTGCTCTTCGGAATTACGCAACATCTTGCTTTCGTTTTTTGCCTTTGATTCAGTCTTGAGAATGTTGCAGAACCCAAGTTATTCTGTAACTTCTACACGGCCAAACCAGTGCCCAGTAGTTTTAACTAAACATGGGTTTTATGTTCGACAGAACAAGCACACCCCCAAAGACCCTTGTAGCAGACGCTGTTGGATTTTTTCCACAATAAGCCTGCACTTGTCAGTCTGCCTTCTCCGCCATTAGTGATTGGCGTGCTAGCTACAGTTTCTATGTCGGTCGGTTTTTTCTCTGATTACATTCAAATTACTAGTTGAACTGGTGATTGAGTAACTTGTAGAACAACTGATGGGTGTTCAAATTCCCCTGACTCCTGTCGGGAGTTGATTACTCATCTGTTTGACATGCTTTTCTGCCTATTCTCCCCTCATTAAAATTCGACTTACTTCTGTTTGCTTTTCTTTGATCCCGTCTCAGATACTGTTCCGTCCAATCGAACAACCATTGCCGTCACATGTGAGTTACTGCCCCACCCCAACTTCGCCCCGTTTTTTCTGGTTTCCCCACTCGAGTGACTCATTTGTGGATGGGTGTCAAGCCACCATGGAGTTGTTTTGTTGTTGGACGATCTCTCAACCTCAGGCGGGAGTTGATGTTGTCTGCAGAATCTTATGCAAATTAGCTCTGCTCTGCTCTGCTCTACCCTGATTTATGGGCTTAACTGTTCTTACAGACGTCAGCTTCACTATCTGACGCAAGCCCCGGTTGTCTTGACCTCAGTGTTTAGACAGGCAATAACGCGCAAATTAACCCCAAGCCCAAGCAACTGCAGACAATTAGTGATGCCATCTAAGTTAACCTCGAACTGCTCTGCAGTGAACGATGCACACAAATTCCGCTGAAAAACACGCAGTGCGTGACGAGTGACCTTGGTACGTCCTTATAGTTTTCCTCATTTAATTTCATCTTTTCGGGACAAGCGTGCGTGACTGGAGGGACGTCAGTGAGTGACACGGTCACGCAACTGTTTGGTTTGCCCAACTGAAATTACTATTTTTATTAGACACTTAAACTGATTTCTCCAAAATGCAGTATGTTGTTGTATGGCCTAATGCCGTTTATGTGCGCGTGATGTAGATATTCCTCTGGCATTTCTCAAGACTGGAATCCCACGGAACCAAGCTTAGGTATATATGCCAGTTAGCCGACTTCCCAGAACGAGGTCCTTTTTGCAGAACCACGCGAAGGGTGGAAGAGAGCAGGGGGTCAAACAATGGCTTGGTAGCGAGGTCATTACGAGAAAACTCAGCTGCGCTGGTCATTGCCGTCTCCCTGGATGGGGACCTCGAGACGAGTCACACTGTTAGTTGAAGACATTGTCAGACATCGCCCATTCGCGCTCTCAGTAGGGTTCGTGCATCCATGCTATTGCTTTCAACACAGCTCCCTTCCCAACCCCCCACTTGAAAGTCTACTGACAGACGTCTATTTACGTACCAGTTTATCAGCTCTCGCCTCCAATGCGAAGCTACCTACCCACCTTTCCAAATCATCGGTGGACGAAACTCTGGCAGCTACAACCACTGTACGACAAGTACGCGGTTCTTACAACGGATAATGATGATGGTGATGATGATACATTGTGGGTTTTTGGAGACATCGGAGATGCTGACGCCAAATAGGAGAAAATCTTTGGTTTGTGGTGTCCTTGCGGTGCATGTGGCCCGCATGAAGCACTGTAAAGTTGCTAAGACCTAAACAGAAGCAACCAACAATTCGGGGGCTGATTTGAGCTATGAGTCTTTCTAATGTTGACGCGGAAGTCACGTGTTCGGATCCCACGTAAACTCTGGCTCATCTTTGCAAGCCTGCATAACTGTTTGTGACACGGGGATTAGCATTACTTGGCTTGTTTAACCCATGAACTCATCTGTTAGGGTTTGCCATAGAGCGGTTGATCTAGGATCTCGTGCGAACGCACTTTTTCAAAAGCGATATGGAACTTGTAGGCAAACCTGTATGGTTTTTCTGCAACGACTCATTGACGGTTGCATCTTCCCCAAACTCCGAACTCCGTCCATCAGGGTGCCGCGAGTTGTTGAACTGCACCGATGAAAATATTGGTTGTATACCAACTTACAAAATGATACTCCAGTTAGTCTTTCGGCGGCAGTGGTTTTTTCCTACACTTTAACTAAATGCTTTTTTCGGTGAAACTCGAGAAGACATTAGAAGATCCGTTCTGGCACCATTATGTTTCTTGGTATCTAACGAAGACGACGCTACAAGAAGGAAGGATCACATCAGTGTAACAGCCCCTGAAGCAACTACACGCACACACACAACACACACACACACACACACACACACACACACACACACACACACACACACACACACACACACACACACACACACACACACACACACACACATGTACCCACTCACCAGTTTCATGTGAATCCAGACCATTCAGTACAGCGTCATACAGCGGTCCTTGGTCTCCCGGTCTGAAGCTCTCACCTTGCCAAGTAGTCGATTCATAGTGCCTCTCTGTTAGCGATGGTGTTCGGAACTTACCTCCCTGAGGTTCAAACATGACAAGTCTGCAGGAGACAGCTGGGTTGCGAACAGCTAGTTCCTGCACTGCAAGAAATAGTAGTATACGTCGCCCTGGTACTGTAATAGGAGTATGAAAACGTGAAGCTGTTCTTCCAGGCGACCAGTAGTCCCCTATATGTAGGAAGAGCAATGCTGCCTTCTTTCAAAAAAGGATGAATTAGAAAAGGTCGTCGCTGGATATCGCACATTCCGATCTCCCGTAACTATCGGCGTATTGTGCAACATTTTGGGAGCATTTACTGTGCTTGCTAGATTCAAGAGGCAGACTTCTCTGCCACACACCCGGTGCCCTCGGAACAGCCAAGGGTCAACTCATTGGATCATCGGAGAAAAATCTAGCAATCGCTATTTCAATATTCGGAGTTGTGTGAGACGTCATCACCAGGGGTAGCAAGTGTTTCATCCTCCTACTGTCAATAGGTCAAATTTTCAAATCAAAGGCTCAAGGTGGATCAGCTCAGTCAATCCCCGTTTCTCAGTGTGTTTAACCAGGACCGATCATCTGCGTTACAGTGTTGTAGTGGGATACATCCCATCTATTTTCTGGATCAGTAAAGTTATCACTGAGTGCCGAAGGTCTCTAAAGACTCTGTATTTGACAGTCTGTCTGGTTGAAACAGTGGATCACTAATTTTGAGGTACGACGGTTCGTTTCGCGGTAAATAATCCTTTCACGCCGATCGCGCTTTATGAATTATGCTGGTCAAGCAGAGATGGGGCAAGATGGCCCAAGTGGTTAGAGCGCGAATTTACTGACCGGAAGGTCTGTGGTTCGAATCCTACCTCCGCCTCTCGACTTCCCCTATCTAGGCTTGGGCAACCTGGCAGTATCCCAGCCCTCGTGCTTCCTTCTAGGGGCATGACAGTTAAGCACCAAAAGGGCGCTATAGCTGAACGATTCTAGGGTACCGTCTCTCGCACAGCTTTATTCGGCAGCTATATATCAGGTTGTAAAGACCCCGAGGCTATCAGAGTTGGCAGCGTACCATGAAAACTCTCACTAGTCAACTGTCTCCAACTGTCCTTCAGCCGAACGGCAATCCCGGGACGAGACACCCTAATACTTAGTTACCCTGACAAATATAGTCCTGTCGCCCTCAACCCTTAACTTTTCCACTCCATGCTGTATCAGGTAGGTGAAAATGCCATAGCTTAAACCACCATGCAGAATCCATAGGTGGATGACGACTTGAATCGCCATAGAAGCTGCTCCCTTCTCGTTATTCTTAACTCGGGATGATATCTGACATAGGCAGTCGCTCGCGCTTGCCCATTGGTTACTGAACGGATCAATAATTTAAGCGGTCTAATTGGAGCCGTAGCATATCGACGGCGCATCTGTTGATGCCCCACCGAAAAGTCTTGGGAAAATAACGGGACGGACGGTTACACAGATCGCTTAATTGAAAATCCCCCTCCATTGGCATTTTTTGTAAGAATGATGTAAACATGAGGCTACAGCCCAACCACGCAACTGTGTGAATCTTTTCTAAGATTGGCGTCCCCCAGTGGACACGACAACAGGACGAGTAGATCTGTGATCCGTTAGCACGATTCCCTGTATCAAGAAGCCGATTTGAGTTCTCCTGCATCCGCCATCCGTATGGCGTCAGCATGCATACTGAAATGGAACCGCGAATCATAGCTTTTGAATGTACTTGAACGAATCTGAATGGGCGTTTCGATGTACGCAGACGTACACTCACAGTCCTTATCGCCTTGTTTCTTAGACTTGGTTTGGTTTTAGTTGTATACTCAGAGTAGGCATAAAAAAGAATTACCGTTGCACCTTGTGTCACCCTAATGGAAGCCAGTCGAAATCAGCCGACTAAAAGTGAGATGGTCATTCCAGATGGCTCTGATTCAGGACGCAGCGTGTTCCAAAAGTCGCGTCAAGATATAGTCGCTTATGATCAGCTCACCTGATTCTATCTGAAATTTTTTGCAATGGCGAAATCGCATGACAATCAACCTACCATTGATCAGTTAACATTAGTCCACCAAAATCCTATCGCATTCATTAGTACTGCGTGGACTAATTCCTGAAAACAACCCGAGACGAGAAAAGATTAGTTCAAGCGTCTCTTGACATTGGTCTCTTTGGTGAGAGAGAGAGAGCGCGCAACAAACTCTTCAGAAGGGTGGCCTTTGTCAGGGGTCACGCAACTCGGGGGTGGGGGAGGGCAACCTATGACAATTTACATCATCATGTGAGTTATTTGATCAATCAGAAGTTGGTTGACCTCGTGTATGGGTGGGCAATGTGCTTTGACGTTCATAATCTTTGATATTTCTGCGTGCATTTGATTCACAGTCCCCAGTAATTTCTACACTAATTGGTTTGTGGAGGTTTTTGGCTCATACGTCTGCAAACATATTATTCCATCTAACAAAGACCGAAATAAGTAAGTAAACTCATCGGCCCTTGGACGCTTACCTTGAAAATCACGACTATCATAGTCAAATCAGTTGCCTCACAATTCTCATTTTTCTCTACCGCGATTTTCAAAGAAGAATCGTTTTTTTTTCTTGCTCGGCCGCTGAAGCACTCAGCTATGCACCGCCAAAGGGTGCAATCCACATGTACAGCGAGAAAGGGCCTAAAATTTCAGTTGGGAACACTGGGATTTTCTAAAATAACGCTTGTATGGTCAACTGTCGTTTGAAAGAGGATGGTTGAATCTCACAAGCTAGCTGACTTACCAACTGGTATCGCAAGTTTCTAACCGAACCATTACTAGCACCTACCTATTCTAACAAGAGCGATCAACGGACTGCTTTGTTGTGAGTAACGTTCATCGGTCGGCTTGTTGGTCAGGTCTGTCGTGCAGTTAGTGTATCTAACTTGCACCATCTAATGCCCCGAGGCTGATTTCTTACTCTATTGTCTATAAGGAACTCGGCAATGTGCCCAAACGACCGACCCATTTCGATCGTCAGTGTGTATGTATGCCGGCGTTTTTTTTTGCAATTCGATTACCTCGCATGAGCATTCGTTTTCGTTTGTGATGTGTGGTGGGGGGCTGCTTTTCGCTTCTTAACGGCTGATTCTCGATAAATTAGAATTGCCTTTTGGGCATTCGACACCTTGCGGCAACAAATTCAATCAACTCCGTTCTCCCTTGCTCCCCTTTTATGTAGTTGAGCAAACAGTCCATTTGCATAGTCCCCTTTCTTCAGTTTTAATTTGCAAAGTGGACAGTAATCCTTTTATTGATCGTGTAGGAATGGAACTGTCACGGAAATTACTGCACATCGTGAGAAAGGCTGTTTTGCAGCAAGGTCTACCTTGATCCTACTAACTTGTTTTCCAAGTATCGAGTAAACAACATGAATACAGTATTTTTTCCATGAGGAATCTCGTCAAGTACACCCATTCCCCGTCATGTGGTCTCTCTTAGGGCTTAGTATGATGACTACTCATGAGTAGTTGCAGATTTTCAATCCGCAGAGCTTGCTTGGACAGTCTTGATGCGATTAGCAAATGGGTAAGCAGTGGACTCAAGATTTTTGGCTACTAACAACTATGCACATATTCAGACATGCTGTAGATTTGAAATCTGACACAAGAGACGAATGTAGTAGTACCACTACTCACAAATCGATTGGGGGGGGATTGGCCGCTGAAACCATTAGTCATATGGAGCAATTGTGCTAGATGTAAGTTCACAGTAAGATCTAACTGCAACCCAGCATTGACTGTCTCCTCCATGCAACCAATCAGCCACCTGGAAACCGTATGAATATCGTTCATATCCTCTGTCCAGTGTTGAAGGCTACACTCCTGACATTGACTGATCAATGTTTCATGGCCACAAGCCTCGAACACTGCCCCAGCAAACCTTTCCGTGATGAGTCAGCTATTTACTCCGGAGTGGCTTCATAGTTGATGAAATTTCTTCCAACTTAGCTTATTTTAAGCAATCCTTATATCCTAACTGAGCTGAAAGTGAAGCAGTCACTCCCAAAAATACGTTCTTGGAATCAACTAGAAAGAACCGGTCTCTTGCACCGGAATAGAACCGCATCTCCGCACCGCGAACAACGGACACTTCAATGATTGAGCCCATTCCTTCGTTCTTGAGAACTAAGTTTTACTGGACCAGATTTATGCTTAGCGATTGACCACCACTGGTGACGGTGATGAGCTTCTATCATGCGTTTATTTACATCTTCGTTGTCTCGAGCTCATCCTTCAAACTGCACGCCCAATTCACTAGCTGTCTCTTGATCGTTTATTGTGTTTTCGGCTCTGGTCTTTCCCACTTGTTCCAAGTGCGGTCACTTCAGTCGTTTGAGGCACCGTAAGAGAGCTGGACCAGTTATATTCCTCCTCTGGACTGCAGGTTGGTTTAGATGTAGCGGGACCAAAGTTAAATTTGATCCTGGCCGCTTTCACATGTCGGTAAGCCACGGGGAGAAAGCTCGCGTCGAATGGCCGGCAAGTGTACGGGTATCCTGATCAGCTGCCAGGCAACGATAGTTATCAATTATTGGGTGTTAGGAGCCAAACTCATCGATTTCAGGTTTTCCATGCTGATCCTTGCAGTTGTAAGTGAACGAGGGAAAAACGTTAACAGCGAGATGTACGAGAAAGGGTGGATGTGTTGCTCACAGAGGATTAGGAACGTGTGTTTGACGTGTTTCCGTTGGCGCCTTGGTTCAGGTCAGGTTCCCCTGAACCATCTTGACGCCAGATTGTTTCTAATCTGGAAAATGTCAAAGACAAAGTTTGTTTTATTCTTTTTCCTTGTCTAAATTTTTCTGTTCACTCCCCTTTTGTCAGTGAGTGTTTGCCAAATGTGGCGCCAAAACTTTGTGAAAGTACAAGTTGTTTCATCAAGTGCGCATCAGTATCAAAAATCAGCGAAATGTTTGAACTGTATGAAGAGGCGAGTTTGTTTACGGTTTTTCGGTGGCTTTTAAGGAGGCCAGAGGAGTTAGCACTTGGAGTTAGGATGATTGTCATACGCGATCAGTTTGCACGTCTTGTGATGGTTCACTCGACGAACAAATCTCTATTCAAATCGCCCTAAAAGCGCTTACACCTAGGATTTTGGTAAGCAGACTGCGTAAGATAATTTTAAGCCAGGGTTGTGTGTGGTGTACGCGAACTCAAGTTCACTGTCCCATGGGCATTGTTCTCACGAGCTTTTTTTCTGACAGTTATCCAGAAAAGCATTCATCCCTCTCCCGCACACAGATACTACTTGGTGAACGAACCCTCGGTCGCATGCGTATGCCGCCTGAATATACATTACAACCGATGTAAATAAATAATATATAAATCGTTCAGCTGTAGCACCCTTTCGGTGCCTAGCTGCCATGCCACCCGAAGGAAGCACGAGGGCTGGGCTACTGCCAGGTTGCCTAAGCCTAGACAGGGGAGGTCGAGAGGC